CGCAATCCTAGGATGTGTTAGTAACCACAAAATATTTTTTTCGAAAAGATGTAACCCTAAGATACAATAATAAAACAAATTAAAAAAAATTTTATTTGAGAAGACACAATCCTATAATGCATTAATAGCCACAAAATGTAAAATAAAAATAAAAAAATAGATGCAACTCTACGTTGTATTTTCTATGATAGCCATTTGAAAGCATTATTATTGGCAATGTATACAACTATTGGTACAATGCAAAAGGTAAATCATGGCAATGTATGTATGCCGAAGTTTTAATAAAAAGACCTAAATGGCCTATCTAAATAACCATAATTTTCTAAAAAGATGCAATCATAGGGCACATTTTCACATAGAATAATAGACACAACCCTAAGATACAATATTAACCATTAAACGGATTTTCGAGAAAACACAACCTAGGATGCATCGATAACCATAAAACGAGTTTTTTCCAAAAGACGCAATCGTATGATACATTAATCATCTTAAAATAGTTTTTTTTTTCCAAAAAGACACAATCTTAATATGGTTTAATAATTATAAAATGGCTATTTAATAAGATGAAATCCCATGATTCATTAATAATAATAAAATGGTGTTTTTCAAGAAGACGCAACCCTATGTTGGATTAATAATCATAAAATTAATTTTTCGAAAGGATGCAACTTTTAGATGTTATAGTAACCACAAAAGGATTTGTTTTTGAAAAAAAAACGCAATGTTATGATGGATTAGTTAAATCATCTTAGAGTTTAAAACTAACCATAAAATTTGCATGGTCTAAAGAATTCCAATTTTTTTTAGACAAATCAAGAATTTTATAAACTTCTAGAATAATAGAAAGATAAATATTTTTAAATAATTTTAAAATATTAGAATGACGAATTTTATCTTTGTTATACTTTGAGTGGATTTTAAAATTACTAGCCATAAATAAACAAAATTCTCAACGAAAAAAACATAGAGTTAAAACACACAAATATATACGTCAAATGGTTTTTTTTTAAGATACAATCCTTGAAAATAACCATAAAGCAGTTATATCGAAAAGACGCAACCCTTGGAAATAACCATAAAGTGGTTATATCAAAAACACACAATTTTTGAAATAATCATAAAACCATAAAACGGTTATATCGTAAAGACGCAACTCTTAGAAATAACCATAAAGCGGTTCTATCGAAAAAACGCAATTCTTGAAAAAATGGTTGTATTGAAAAGATGCAACATTTGAAAATAAATATATAGCGGTTATTATTGAAAGGATAAAACCAAAACATACAACCATAAAACGGTTTTATCGAAAAAACGCAACCGCTAGAAATGACGTTATGTCGAAAAAATGCAACTCTTAAGAAAAAAATTATATAGAAAAGATGTAACTTTTGAAAATAACCATAAACAAGTTATTTTCAAAAGGACACAACTCTTAGAAATAACCATAACGCGGTTATATTAAAAATAACGTAACT